CCCCCCCCCCCCCGCCCCTCCTAAGCACCTTCTCCGCCTACAGTAATCGCCTCCGCCTCTGACAACTCCCATGGTTTTTGATCAGAAAAGGCGTCTACCAAAGCGGGGAAGCGTCCTCACAATCACACACACCCTGTAGTTCTTACATTCTGCGCAGCACCAGGCTCCTCAAACCTTTCGAACTTTGGAACAATTTCTGCGTACCCCCCCCCCTTTTGCTCGCCAAGGAGGGGGAGGGAAGAGCGGAGACCGGGGCAACACAAATCACACTCCCCCGGTCTCACGGTCTCCTCAACAGCGGGACGCTCCTGCTGTATACCTGAGAGCTGCCCACCGTAGCTGCAGTTGAGGTAGGGGGCGTGGTTCGGCGTATCCCCTCGGGGCCCAAGAGCTTGGCGACGAAGCTCATGAGGTTGGAGGCTAGGTCCTTCTCGAGGAGGGAGAAGATCTCGCGGTCGATCACCGCCTTCTTCGCCGGAGACAGGTCTTCCACCAGCGCCGCCTTGCGGAAACACCACAACCAACAACAAGACGTCGAGAAAATAAAAAAATACTCCCAATAACTGAATGACAGGGAGAAAAAAACAACGAGCACAACTACCAGCTCCCTTCACACCTCTCGCTTCTTTCCAACCAGCGACAAGGAAGTGGACAAATGATGGGCAGCTTTGCTGCCTCCCCCGACAGAGAAGACACGGCAGCAGCCGCAGCTGTACCAACGAAAACATGCGATGTCATGAACAATATCGACCATCGGCGATAACACCGAACACGAAAAGAATAATCGGATCGACACGCCTGCGCGCTCGCGAAAAAAAAAAAAAAACACACACACACACATACTCGTGGTTAAGGTACTAAAACAGCGATTTTTTGCTTTTTATCGCGGAAAAGATGACCTCTGCCAGGGTGGCTAGAACATTCAAGGCCCCTCTTTAGCACGGAACCAGCAAAGCAATAAACCGCTACACATGGACGACCTCAGCTCCTCCTCCCCAAATACTCGACCCGTTACTTTTGGAACAGCAACAGATCGCGAAAAACATCAATGGTGATGTGGGTCACATACACATATAGGCGTAGACACCAACCCCCCGTCTGTTTTCCGATCTCCGTAGATGCTCCCAACATCGAGTGCGCTATGCACGTCACAAGCTATCACCTTGAACAGCTCCGCCTCGAACATGAGCAGGTTGCGGCGCTCCAGGTAGAAGAGCTTCCGTGCGGCCAGCGGGAGGTCCTCGCTCAGACTCCCCGCCGGGTCGGACAGCCTTTTCTCCAGCGCCCGCCTCTGCCAAGGCTCGTTCACCTAACACACAGACGGATAGACATAGACAGACAGGAGAGAGAGCGAGGCGGGGGGGAGAGGGGACAGACAGACGGACAGAGACAGAGGCAGACAGACAGGCAGATAGGCGGAGAGGCAGACAGTCACAGAGAGCGAGAGAGAGACAGAGAGAGAGAGAGACGGAAACGCTGTGCTGTCACATACTCGACGCCTGCGGAGCCCCCAGGTCAAAATCGTGTGCCCACATCCGTTCGCGATAAGAATACGCCAGTTGTTACTACATCAAGACAGATGGAGGGCAACTCTTCTCGCTTCGCAGCCCTTGGTCACTCTTGGCGTAGCCATGCCAGCAGGCCGGTGGATATGTGCTTCACACCAAGACACCGTGGCAAGGGGCGAGAGACGCGGGGGGCGGGGGGGATGGCTTGCACCTGCAACGAAAGAGAAAGGTGTGTACCACCATATACGCCCTCTCTGTGTCGGCTATACTTTCAAGTCTTCAAGTAGAACAACAAAATGCTAGTGGACTTCGAACATCTTACCACCGTACTACACACGCTACTGAAGTTGTGGCATCCATGCGCGCGTACAACCTATTTCAGGCGGGACACGAAATAGCGTTGCTTTCACCTGTGACCACAGGTCCACGCACACCACCTCGTTGATGTCCAGCTCGTCAGATAGCGCCACGAGCTCCGACACCGCTTGCGGTGGAAGCTTCGTATCCACAACACCAGCAGCAAACCAAAGGGGGCACGACGACGACGACGCCACAAAACGAAACAACACATGCGCCGGTAGAGGGAGGGGAAACGATCCGAGAAGTATTTTCATCCCTGTTCTTGTGAAACTAAAAGATTACGCAGGGATTCTTGTTCATCGCGGTGTCAGAGAGAGCGCCAAGACCAACATGAGGACCAAGGCGCAAGACCGAGCAGGGAAACTAGGGATCTAACTGAATAATCCATCTACAATGAGCAAACGAAACTACCAAACCACACCAACTAAACGCGTGCAGTCCACGAAGTAACTCCTCTTGATGCCGTTGCCTATGCCACCACCAACACATCCCCAAGCTCAGCACTACTAGTCTTGCACCTTCGCGCGGAAGCCCTTGACCACCACGCTTCCACTCTGCAGGGCCGTTCTGTCCTCTGGCGTCCTGGGGTGGCACCGGGACGGGTCCGGACAGATGAGGTCATCCCGACGGGCCTCTAGTCCCTCCGAGAGGTCTCCGATCATCTCGTTGCCGTCTCTTGATCGGAGGAACTCTTGAAGCATTGCCTGATAAACAATAAACATTGGTACGCACATACATCGTGCGGAATGTTTTACAGCGGTAGACACATGCAGTGTTGTTGCGAAAGAGCAAAAAGGGGGGCGGGGGGGGGGGGGGTTCTCATAGTCGTGCATGCCGTAGTCGTTAGACCATTGACCTCGCATCCCTACAAAGCCGGGACGGAGCACGCCGGGTTCTCACCG